CAGCGGTGGGGGCGTTGGGGGGCTCCCCCCCCAGGACAGGGAACGGGAGGAGGCTGCTTTCCCCCCGTTTCCAGACAGGTGGACGGGAGGTCAGATAGACAGGGAGCAAATGCGGGGACCCAGGGCAGTGCACCGTCCACTTCCGGTGGGTCCGGTTTGCATTGAGAAGGGGCTTCAGCCCCCCCACCTGGGCCCAGGCCTGTGCAGACCCTGGGGGACTGCACCCCTACAGGTAAAAGGACGTCACACCGTTGTTGGACCACCTGTGCTCAGTGCAGGTGTGCAGGGGCTGAGGTGGAGAAGGCCAGGAGGGGTCTTGGGGGGCGGGGCCAGGCCGGAGGGGCGGGGCCAGGCCGGAGGGGCGGGGCTGTACCTCTGGGGTGAGGCCACACTGTCCTTTAGCAGGTGAGAAGGTAGACAAAGTGACGTCTGCTTGGGACGCGTCTCTGTGGGTCTCTCCCTCTCTCTCACTGCTTCCATCTCACCATCTTCTCTATTGAACCTCAAGAGAAATGGGGAGAATTAATCACACCGCACAGTCCATGACATGTTTGTCATTTATCATCTGCGTGGAGATTCCATCTGGTTTTGTCATTTCTTAATCCCCCTTTAACCCCGTTTCTCATCCCATTATCATCCTGCTCTTAGAAAGTCATAAAACTGTCTAATAGTATCTCTTCTTTATTGAATTTTTATCTTATTTATTTGAAAGTGTTAGTTGAGATTCTTTTCTAAGACTTCATGCTTAGGAAATCCTTGAGCTGTGTCTCATGACTGACTTTTTACTGGAATGTGTTCTTGCTGAAGTCCATTGCTCTTCATGGGCATATACTTTAAATATGCACGGAAAGCATCGTGTTACCATTTCGTTCTGTTTATGCCATTTTTAATTTTGACCAATAACTATGTTTTCCACATATGCTCATGTTGCTAAATGCACAGCGCCTCCATTGTTTTCATGCCTGCGTCATTCTCCGAGGCCCACGCTCACCACGCTCTCCCTCTCCAAGCTCCCAGGACACCCACCCAGGGACCTCCGACTCCCGGCCACCAGGGGCACGCTCTGAGAACACCCTCCTCCATGTCCCTTCTGGACCTGTAAGAACCTCCCCGGGTGTGTGCTTGGGTGGGTCCCTGGTCACAGAGTGTGCGTGTACTTGATTTGACTAAATAGTGCCAGGTTCCTCTCCAGGACGGCTGCACCATCCACCCTCCCACCTGCAGGGCACAGGTGGCCCCGTGGCCCCGTCTCCCTGGCAACACTGGTAGCAGCCAGCTTCCTAATCACTGGCAGCCTATTAGATGTGAACTTGTATCACGTCGTTGCTTTAATTTGCACGTCTCTCACAACCACCTGTTTGCAGCGCGGTGGCATATGCTTAGTAGCTGTTTGAGGTTTCCTCCTCCGAAGATTATCTGTTCATATTCCTTTGTCTATTTGTGGGAATTCTTTTTCTTGTTGATTGACAAAATTACATAGTATATCCTAAATATTGATTGTTTGCCAGTTTTAAATGTTGCAAACATATTCTCCCATCTGTCAGCTGTCTGTTAATTTTGCCCATGACCTTCGCTGTTAACAGACACCCTTAGTTTGGATGTAATACAATTAATCATTTTCATGTGTCTGGCTTATTAAAATTTGTTTTTAAAATAATTCCCAGCCACAATTTCACAGATATCCGACCCAGTGTCCTATTTTATTTCCTTTGCTACTTAGGCTCTTCCCATTAGGACCCCACCTGTTTGTGGTGTCAGGCAGGGGTCAGCCTTTGTCCCCTCACAGTTGGCCCGACACTATCTTCCCCACAGTCCGTCCTCTGTGTCACCGTTTACGGGGCCACTTCCGCCACTGTCTCTGCAGCCATCTTGTGAACAAGTTATCAGTTTGTTGGTTTTGCTGAAGTGTCCTAGTTTTGTTGACTCCTTAGGGAGAACCGGCCCCAAGTACACAGGACGTTGAAAACATGATCCTCACTTCACTCCGGCTGCAGCTTTTGGGGCCCTCAGACCTGGTCCCTAAGCTGATGCTGCGATGGGGACTCAGGAGAAGTGATATGGTCAGGTGGCCCTTGGGAAACTGGGGGGTGGGGGGGGGACAGGGAGCCAGGGCCACAGGGGATCAGGCCAAGGTGTCTTCACGTGGTCCTCAATCAACCCGAACACGGAGTGTTGTCACATCTCCGAGCTGTCCTGAGCGGAGGCTCGGGACCTGTGGGGTGACCCTCACGTGTACTTCAAGGCCTCCCTAGGATTGGGTGGGGGCCGGGGGGTGGCCCTGCTGTTGCGTGTTGACTGGCTGGGGGGGAGGGTGCTTTGTAGCGTTTGCCAATTCTCTGTAGTATGGATTTTCCTCCATGACTGATTTTAAGCTGGGCCCTTCTTCCTGGAGCTGGCATCTGGTCACAGGGCAAGAGTAAGACAGAAATGAGTGAGGAGGCTCTGCCTTCGCCTTCCACGGGTGCAGCCGAGCTACAGCCCCAAGCCCACCTGTCGCCCTGCACCACCAGCTGCCCCACAGACCATGGGGCCACACACACCTGCCATCCAGAGGCTCCACGCTGGGAGGAGACTCCAGCCGGAAGTGGTAGTTCTGGTTACAGAGGCCGCTTCTTTAAAGGGATCCCTTCACCCTCACCCCCACACACACATGCAGGTCAGGGTCCCAGTGCGTGTCGAAAGGCACAGCTGATATCTGACGGACTTGATGGGGACAGCTCAAGGCATTCGGGTATAATCACCTCGTCAATGAAATACAGGTAGTGCCAGTTCAACTGCAGCTGCAGGTAAACGACAAGTAATTTTACTCTAAGTGTGTCCCTGTGAGTGTGTTCTAAACACGACGGGGCGGGGGGGGGGTGAGGAGGAGGGTGGCAGGTGGGCGGGCACCACTCGGGATGCCCCCCTGAGGCTGTGAACGAGACCACCCTGGGTGGGGTGCCCACCGAGTGACAGGAAACTGGGGCAAAGGAGCACTCAGGATGGTGATGAAACTGTCCCCTGCTGACACGCGCCCCAGGAAGAGTCCGCGAGTGGGAGCAAAGTGGAGCCAGCAGCCCAGGGGTGTGTGAGGCAGGCAAGTACCATCTTCCCTGCCGGGGAGGATGCAGGCGGGGCCGGCACAGGTCTCTGCAGGCAGCAGGGGAGGGGACGGGCTGCACTGAGCGGTGACTCCACCACCACTTTCACGGGAAAACCTGTCACTTCATCAGATGCACAACAAGCTTTGGGCATTAGATGGAGCCAACAGCCGGGCTTTCTAAATTCCCTACAGATGAGTGTTTCTGGCTCCCTTTTCTTGGGAGTTAGGAAGTCAAACACTGCATTTTTCAAAATGCCTCCCGTCTCCCTTCTTCCCAGCTGAGATCAAGGGGAGCGAAGGAGAGAGGGAGCCTTGGGCTGGACATTTGACACCTTTAATTTAAGTCACAGGTTCTAGGTTGCAGGGATTCGTTGCCCAAACTTCACGGAGTAACAGCACCAGCCCTCGGACTGCAGTTGACGGTTCTTTCCCCCAGTTCTCCTCCTGGTAAGAAATGGGTTTCCGTGGAATCTGTGAGATCTTGGTGGTGGGTGACATGGGGTGGGTGCCTAAGAACCTTCTGGAACCTTCCAGCGGGGACAGTGGCACCAACCGGCAGAGGCCTGGAGTTAACCAGCCAGGAGGAGCGCCCCATTCGTCCCCGGGCCAGACTCCCTCCCCACCAACTGCAGATTGCAAATGACAGCTTCTGTTCATGCAGGGGACACCCCAGCTTTTCCATTAGGTTCGGTTCCCCTCCTGGCAGGTCACCTTTTGATTCCTGTTCAGCTTTAACGAGTCCTCCTAACTGGGTGTGCTGAGTGAGACGCTGAAATCAATTCCTCACCCTGACTCGGGCGGCTTTCATCTTGGATTCCTCTGGCTCTCCAGGATGCCTCCAGGCACGCTAGTATCTTAATTCATCTTCTGTGACCTAACAAAGGGATTGTCCAGCGTGGGGGCACTTCCATGTCACACACGTCACAGCACAGGCCACAAGCTGCTTTCTGAGGGGCAGTCATCGGGGACACCAAGGGTCAGGCTCATGTCTCCTCGCAGACCTGTGGTCAATGTCCGTCCACAGCCAGATGACGTGGCCACCGTCGCCCTGGCTGAAGTGGCCTGTGACTGCCATCTTCCGTGTTGTCCGTTTCGTTCCCTCCACTTCCAAAAACAAAACCCCGATTTTGCTCTGGGAACGCCCACCTTCCCCACCCTTAGCTCATAGAGCACCTTTGGAAGTGGTCTGCCCTTGAACCGCGCATTTCACAAAGGGCGGAGCCAGTCAGGTTCGCATTTCCAGTCAGAGCAACCCAGGCATGACATGCAACCTGTCACTGCTGGGCCACGAGGGACAGAGGAAATGAAGTATGTCACTTCCCTCACGGACTCCCTGGGGTGGGGACAGCCCTGTTCCTCCTGGTGCAGGCCGAGCACAGGTCTCCATCTGCCAGCTCGGGAGCCCCGTTCTAACCTGGGCCGGTGGACGTCTGCTGTGACCTGCACAAGCCTCCCGGCCTGGCCAGCAGCCTCAGAAAATGTGTGCACACAGGCTGAATAGACATGTCCATGCAGGGCTGTTCAGTCACCCAGATGCAGACTTGTCCCGTCACAGGGCTCCCAGCTCCTCCCGGGAAGACACCCGTGGAGACGGCCCGGTGGTGCGAGGTTGTGTAAAGGTCTGAGTTAGAAATGAATTCACTCCCGGGAGCACACTGACATGCCCACCTGCCTCAGTGCAGGCTGGGATGTACCTGGACAGGTGCAGGGCCGGGTGTAGGCGCACTGCGGGAGGCACTGTGGGTGGGGGCCCTCTGAAGGTCACAGGATCCTGGGCAAAGCACCGTGTTTGTCTGCTGGGGATCTGGTGCGTCTCTGCCCATAAGTCCATGGGTCCAGGCACGTCTTCATCCCCAGGCGGTCGGCCGTGTGATGCCCTCAGCACTCAGAGCCACTCTGCCCTCTGTTTCCTCAGGAGCTGTAAGCACTTGACCCCATGCAGGAAAAGCAGCAACAGGGTGCCAGCGGCAAAGACAAACCTGGGCACCCCCGCTGCCATCAGAACAACACCCTCAACACCCAGCCCCCAGCACCAGGTCGGCTGTGGGGACACAGGACCCTGGAGACCGCTCTCCTCACAGAATCACTCTTGCCCAGCTTGTCAAGAGCAGCACAACACAGGTCAGAAACCGTAAAGGGAGTCGATAAAAAGCAAACCCGCCTCAGCTCCATCCCCCTGGCTCTCAGCAGCTTCCTCTTTGCTCCAAACCCAGGCCTATTGTACATATAACCAGCCTCAATTTAGTCACTGAATTTCAGTTACGGCATTTTTGAGGATTCAAACAGCAACAAGCATTCACACACTGTGTGTGGATATAATCCTAAAACCTTACTGCAGTGTCAGCTTCACAAAGCTTGTTTCTTGAGAAATGTCAAAATGCAACCTCTCCTTCAATGTACTTTCTTATCCTCTTTTTATTATGTTTTTTTTTTTATACAGAAATTTCCTCTTTCAAGGGAGGCTGACATGGAAAAGTCAAGGGTTCTTTATTATTGTAAAAATCGGAGGGCATTTTTTTTTCCCTCTCTTCTGTTCTATTCCAGCCCGTCATGGGTCCCAAGGGTCTTCACAAGCTTCATGTTCTCCATGTGCACCCACGTCAGCCTGCCTGGCTGTCCTTGTGATGACCTTGCGCGTCCCCAGGAGGGATTATCACGTGTGGTGAGTGTGCAGAGCCTGGGGTCAGCCGTCACGGCAGGTGGCCAGGATAAGCTCACTTAGTCTCTCTTAGCTTCAGTCTCGTCTTCTGTGAACTTGGAATTAGGAAAAGACATACCACCTGAGATTAGTCAGCATCTACGTGGATTGTAGCACCAAGCTTGGAAGGTATGAAGCACTCAGGGCACGTCAGCTATCATTACCACGGTTATTTTAATTGCGAGACTTTTCCCCTTTATAGTTTCTTTGCTCTCTCGGGAGACATTGCTCTTCGCTAGACTCTTTCTATAGCGGCTTCTGGTTAACTATCAAGTCTAAAATAACTGAAGTTTAATCAGACCTGAAACACAGGGAGAATCCATGCTGGAAGGTGGTCATCAGCACGTGTCAAGGTGCCTACGATGTGCCACACACCTTGTCAGGTAAATGATGATCAGTCATTTCCTCCTCACAATATCGCGGTGAGGTATGTGCTGTATCTCCATTTTACAGATGAAGGAAATGTGGCTCAGAGAGGTTCAGTAACTTGCCCGTGGTCCACAGCCAGGCAGTGACAGAGCCATCACCTTGCATAAAGGACAGGCTGACTGTAAAGCCCTCTCCCCCGTGCCACGCCTCCTTCCATTCCATTTATAATTATTTTAAATTAAACCTTCAAAGATAGCTGGAGCACAGTACAAGCAAAATACTTTTCACATGAATTTGGAGTTTGCTGAGCCCTATCATGGAGCAAAGGATATTTTTTTTAACTTATTTTTTTCCCTTTGTGTTTCAGTTTGTTTAATGTCTATTGACTTCTTCCTTCCTAAGCTGTGTCAATACTGATGGCTCTGTGACAGGCTGTCATCATCTCCATATCATTTTATTTTTTTCTCCTGTGTCAGCATGTGATTCTTGACTATAGCTTCCATTTCCAGTAGAAACCCCCCATTTGTTTGTGCATGTTCTCCACAGTTTTCATGAGAGCCTTTAACATATTAACCATAGTTATTTTAAATTCTCTGATAGTACCAACATCTTTGTCACATCTGCGTGTGGTTCTGTTAATTGCTTTGTCTTTTGACAGTGGATTTTCTTTCTTGCCTTTTACTGTGTCCTGTAATTTTTGGATGAAAGCTGGACATCCGTGTGGAGAGTGGAAATTTAGACGAATATTTTTTACAACTAGAAATAGATACCCCTCTCCTTTTACTACGACTTCATTTGGTGTGGGAGTGAGTGGCTCTAGATAGGGGCTGGGCCCGGGGTGTTACTTAAATGGCCCCCACCACCCTCTCCAATCTGACCTCATGCAGACGTGCTCTTTGGTCACATTGTTTCAGTAGCACTCAAGTTTGTTCGGTCGGTCAAATGCCCCAGACTTTACCCCATCTTGTGGGACTTTGCGTTTGCTCTTCTGTCTGTCTAGAGCATTCCTCCTGAACCATCAGCGTGGCTGGCTCCTATCCTCATTCTCAGCACAAACGTCTCTTCACAAGAGAACTTCTCTGACGCCACGGAAGTGGCCTCCCCGAGTTATTCTCCATCTCATCGCTGTCTTTTCTTCTGTAGTAGCAATGATCACTATCTAAGCTCATCTCGCTTTGTTACTTATTTTGTGGTTTGCTGTCTGTTTCCTCAGCGGGCAGGACCTTGTCATCCTTGATCTCCATTTATCAGCAGTGCCTGGAACAGTGTCAGGAATCTAGTGTATGACTGATAAAACTCTCCTGAATGGATGAAGGAACCAGCGAATTATAAAACCTTCTGTGAGGCTGATGAAGTAGCTCCTCCAATCTGAAGCCTCCCTTCCCGCTCCCCAAACTGTAGGGACAGCTGTTCCCGAGTCAGGAGGCCAAGGAAAGGGTCAGCTCCTCACCTGTCGTTTGCCCAACACAGTGCTCCTTCCAGCCCAGCGGTCCCCATCTCCTCCCCAGCTCAGCTACTCCCAGAACTTTGGTGTGTAGCCCTTTTCCCTGAAGTCACCGAATGTCCCCCCCAAACCCACCCTCCAAACTGAAGATGTTGTCACACCCAGACAAGCCTCCTCAGCCCTGGGCAAACCCTATTTTCTGGTCAAGAAAAATAATAATAATTGTTTGAGCTCCTCCTGGGCCCGAAAGCGAATTTGACATTTGTTATGCTGCGGTAACCATTTCCCCCAAAGCACTCTCATAAGTGTAGTGGCACAGATTTCTAAGCCATCAACTCAGGTGTGCAAAATAACTTTATTCTCTTATAACTAAATATAGTTCCTCTCTAGAGCCTTCATTCTGCCTAATGGTAGAAAAAAATAGATTCAATTTCAGGCGAACGGCATCAATTCAGGGCAGCAGACACTTTTTCTGGACAATTGAGGATTTCTTCCCTCCTCTCTTAGGGACCTCTGAGTTGCTGGTTCACACAGGGTCAGGTGGGACCCCCAGCCATCACCGGCCGGGCTGACATCTGCTGATGGTGCACATCCTTATTGAGGGTCTGGCCCTATAATGCTAAGCGTGCCTGGTGTCACGTCCCCTGACCCAGCACGTTCCCCTGGTGTCTGGCCCTCCCTTCACTGTAGGATTTTGTCCTCTGTGGACCTGGGGCATACCACACTCCCCCGCACCCCCCCACCACCACCACATATTGGGGGTGAGAACCCAAAGGGTCTGTCCTGGGTCCTCTCTGCCCTGAAGCCCTGCCACCCCCTGCCAGCCCTCTCCTCTCTAACTGCCCTCACTCTGGCTGTGTGAGGTCGCCTGGGAGGTCGCTGCCTCCCGAATCTCAGATAGGAAACAGTCCAAGTCTTCTGTGCGTTCAGACCCTACATTGATGGGGGCATCTGTCACGCTCCATTCTAGGGCTGACTTTGGGGGAGGGTGTTGGCTGCAAGGCCCCTTCTCACACACCCTCCTCAAGTCTTTCCTTTTGGATTCTTTCTCTTTCCCAGCCCCGAGATAAGCTTGATCTATTTGAGGCTGGGAAAACAACGGACTCTGAAGATATTCTCCCGAGTATCTCTGCATTACAGCAGGACAATGTATTTGAGGGAAAAAAAAAAAAACCTTTAAAAAAACCCAATAATGTGATTCCTTTGTTGTCTATTTCTGCCGGTAGGACTTGCCCTAAAGCAGAAGCCTCTGGGGCCATGGCCACGTGGGAGGCGAGAGGAAAGGAGCCCTCCGGCAAAAACGCACCAGGCAGCTCCTGCCACCGGTATGGCGACCTTCCCTTGTGACGGTGTCTGGCTCAGGATCCTTGGACAAGACCTCCCTCCTGGCCTTCTGGGCGTGGAGGGCTGCCGGGGGACGCCCCGGGGACAGCGAGCAAACCGCCCTGCGCCGACTCCCACATCCTGGGCCCGTGGGGCAGTCAGGACGTCCTGAGGTCACCTCGGCGGGACCAGTGGCTTCTTCTGCGGGGCTATTTTATGACCGAAGCGAATCGTGAACAGACGCGGGCCCCAGCTCCCTCTGCATGTGTTTGCAAGGGGCGGTGATGGAGTTAGTTCCCTGGGCAGGAAGTCGGGGCTCGCGGGCCAGCCCCCCACGCTCACACGCTGCAAGCCTGAGACTCAGCTTCCACATCTGCGGGATGGGGCCGCTGGGAAGGTGACGCGGCAGCACAGGGCCTGGGCCGCAGGCTGTGCTCCACAAGGTCCCACGTGACCCTCTCTGATTCTCTGTGTCGCCAGGAAACGAGGAAGCGAGAAAATGGAAGAGAAGAGGCAGAGGGCCCGGCACGGTGACTGAATGCGCGACCGCAGACACCAGAGCCAGGCTCCCGACGCGACAGCATCTGCGGGCCACACGCCCAGCACTCCCCACTGTCCACCCAGGACCCTAACACGCTTCCTGAGGGCCTGGGTTGGGGCAGGGACCGCCACGGAGTCAGCTAGCTTCCGGTGACTGGTGCCCAACTCAGGGGACCCATTCAGCTGTGCGACAGCGACCGGGTACGAGGGGCCTAAACAAAGCGGGGGACTGTGGAGGGTGCCGCAGTGGCCCCACCATGGCCTTGTCCCACCAGCCCGGCTGACGCGCTGGTGAATTGTGGTGTTTCTGGAAGAACAGCTGTCCTTCTAAACCTTGGGGGCGCTATTGTGACAGCACAAAGTGGAGGAATGGGCTTTGGGGGGGCAGAGCCAGTGCCCCATGGGTGGGCCCAGGGCATGTTTCCAAGCCATGGGGGCCGCTTCCGTTTATAACTAAATAATTCAAGAGGAAGGAGGCAGAGCTGGAGTGTGACTTCAGCTGGGTAAGGTGATTATGGGCAGGTCAGGGAGAGAGCACCAGGAAGGCCTGGTGAATGTTTTAAGTTGCTTTTGTGCTGCTGGACTCTGTACAACAGTCACCACTTTTATTCTCTGTCACAATGACAGCGAGTTAATGCGTTTCACAAGAACCATATATCAACTGTCCTCCCTCTGCCATGTAAATCCAAGCACACCATGCCCTCAAGCAGTCCTTCCCGCCCGTGATCACCACCTGGTGAAGCCCACCGCGGGGCGGACAGGGTGCTCTGGCCGTCTCCACACGCAGCTCCAGCCAGCCCGACGCCCCTGCTCCATGCGTGCTGCAGATCCTGACTCCACAGGGAAAGCCACCGCCATCTGGAGGGAGAGTCAGAATGCACAGCTAGTCTGACTCTTGTTTGGCTAAGACCTTTAAAAATGAATGCTGTGCATATCTGCACGCACAGGAGTCGGTGCGGTCGTCTGCGGGTGCGGTCGCCTGCGGGAGGACCAAGCGTCCTCTCTATGTGGGAGTGATTTTTCCTGCACAAGAGCCTGTCAACTTGCCTCTCGCTTCTAGGAACAATGGCCACCCCCGCTCCCCTGAGTCTGAGATAAAGACAGAATTGTCTCGCACCATAATGTGTTCCCAGCACTCAGGCATCCGCTCCATCTTTCTGAGTGGGCGTCAACGTATGCGCTGCAGACACAAGTGCAGGCCCAGGGCCTGGTAGGCCGCAGGTGCTCAGCAACGTTTACTGCGTGGCTGGTTGGATGGACACTAAAACCTGGGGCAGAGGCTGCTGTATCCCTGTGGGTGCTACAGGACGGAGCTGCTCTGATTGACAACCCCTGGCTGCATCCTGGTCCTGAGGTGAGAAAAGCAGCTCCTGATGTTTCCACGTTTTGCTGGGGGGAGGTGGGGAGCAGTCACAGAGCCTCTTGTATAGACAGTGCCACCCGGCAGGGCACTGGGCCCTTGAGCCTTCACTTAATGTTTTAAGTGAAAGAATAAGGGGCCATGAGTGATGTTTCCATGTGTCCCTCCTGCACCATCGCCATCCAAGCTAGGACCTCGGGAGGGCAGCGGGTCGCTCACAGAGCCCCCAACTTCCTGAGGAGCATGGTGTTACCATGGTGCCTCGCTCCACGACCCCACCGGTCACGAGCCAGATTAAATCTCTAGGCATGAGCCAACCTCAGGCCCTGGACGTCAGTCACCGATTTGGAGAGTGGACACACCTTTGAAAGCAGGCCCAGCCTGGCCATGCTGCTCCCAACGCTGCAGCGCATGGTGCCCGAGCCCACTGGGAGCAGAAAGGCGGGAGACAGGTCGGTGCCGCTTTGGGGGAAAAGCGAGAGTTCCAGGTGCCCAAAACACGCGGCCCTGATTCTGGGGGGATGCTGACAACGCTTTCACAAAGGCAGTTCTGATGGTTCTCAAACTGAGCCTCAGCCTGTCAGGGTGTCTGGAGGTCCTTCCCGGTTCTCCCAGGAAGCCCCTCTAACCGTGATGTGGAAACTCCCAGCCTGGGCACGGGGACCCAGCCTTGCACCCCG